CAACTGAACAGATTTATTTGGTATTTTATTAATTAAATTGGTGGCTGAGTTTGGGTGGCACATACTTGTGATCTCAGCACTTTGAGACATCCTGAGGTGGGAGGATCACTTAGGGCCAGGAGATTGAGACCAGTCTGGACAACAGAATAAGATCTTGTCTCAAAATAAATAGTCTTGGATGTGATTCTTTTGCTTGGAAAGGCATTTCAACAAGATGTTTCCCCTAAGTCAATATAAGGTCTTCCACTGTCTTTAGTTGCTGTCATGTTCTCTCTGATGCACAATGTTTTCTTTGAAACCAACTTGTCCCTAAAGTTCCGGAAATAATATATTTATAAAAAGATGCTGCAAGACCTTTAAAATACTTATTTTGGTATAAATCCTCCATTATTCTTCATCTCCACAATATTGCATTTCAAATCAAAATCCTAATTGTATAAAAAAGAAAGTTTTTACTTTCTTTCATATTGCATTTTGTTTCACCAAAAATAATAATACCTTCAATTAATACTTATAATTATTTTATATCTCTTACAAGTAACAGGGAATTTAGAATTTCCAAATCTTTTTTTTTTTTCACTTTAAAGAGAGGAATGAAGGGTGGTGGAAAGGATATGGGCTTGGAAAGGGAGTCTTTAAAGTCTATAGTTATGACTAAGAGGATATAAATATGCATCGCTTTCGAAGGAAGACTATTTTTATATGTATATTAAAGCTTATACTAATTACATCAAGATTCAAGCAGAATTAATTAATATTGCCAATTCTGTTCACACCAGGCAATTTGAACTCTCATTCATTTAATAAAAATTTACCAAGCACCTTTTAGGAAGTGTTCTAGGCACATGCGGCATATCAGGTGTTCTAGGTACATGAACAACACCAAATAAATAAATCCTTGCCCTTGTGAAGATTGTATTCTTATAGGTGAAGACAAACAATAAACAGAGAACATAATAAGCAAGTAAATTATATAATATCTTAGAAGTTGATGAGTACTATGGGGGGAAAAATAAATTATATGCAGTAAGAGGAATCAGAAGTACTATGATCAGGGTCAGTGTATTAGTCACCTCAGGCTGCTATAACAAAATTCCATGGACTGAGTGGATTAAACAACAGAAATTTACTTTATTACAGTTCTAGGGGTTTGGAGTTCCAACATCAAGTTGCTTTCTCACTGTGTTCTCACATGGATGACACACACACACACACACACACACACACACAAAGTGAGAGAGAGCTCTCGTGTCTCATCCTATAAGGACACTAAGATCACAGCCCCACTCTTACCACATCATTTAACCTTAATTATTTCCTTAGAAGCTCTATCACCAAATAACAGCCACATTAGGGGTTAGGACTTTAATATATGAATTTTGAGAGGACACATTTAGTCCATTGCAGGAAGCTTGCACTTTGAAATAGAGTGGTCGGGGTATGCCTTACTGAGAAGGAATATTTGTGTACATTTTATAGGAGGTATGGGGGAGGCAGCCCAGGTATAAGGAGCAACTAGAGCAAAAGTATTAGGAGCATGATACGCAAGAGCATTAGAAGATCAGTGAGGCAGGAGCAGAATGAGTTTTAGGGAGAAAGGTAGATGAGTTTTGAGAGATATTGGCAAGACCAGATCATACATTACTTGGGTTTTCACCATTTGAGAAATGAGACATTGGAGGATTGCTCTTCTAAGTCTTAAGTTTTAATATAGTCATTCAAGCTATGTTAAAAATAGACTTACGGGAAGGATAAGTAAAGAGTGACTAAACTATTTAGGAAGCTATTATTATGGTGGAGAGATGATGATGTTTCAATGTGACAGAAGCTTGGTGGTGACACAGGTCACTGATGCTTTTATGACAGAGGTCATAAAAGTGGTCAGAATTTGAAACTATTTGGAAGCTAAAACCCACAGCATTTGCAACAAACTGGATGTAAACAGTATGAGAGAAAAAGAATTCAAGGAAAACTACAAGATTTTTGACCTAACCAACTTAAGGATGGAGTTATCATTAGGTGACATGGAGAAGCCTAAGAAACCTTCATAATTGGAACAGATTGGGTAGCAATGAGATAAAGAATTCAATTTGAGACATATTAAGTTTGATATATCTGTTAGACATCCAAATGAGATTTCAGGTAGGCATCTGGGTATATAAGTATGCTGTTTAAGTGAGAGGTTTAGCATAAAGTTATAAATTAGAAAATTATTGTCATATAATATTTTAAAATATGAGACTCTATGTCACCTCCAAGAAAGTAAGTATAAAATAAAGAAGAAACAGTATGAAAATAACGCCCTGGAGCATTGTAACAGTAAGAAGTTGTGGAGAAGGCAGCCATCCAAAGGAGGCAGAATAAAAGCAATCATTGAGGTAAAAGGAAAACCAAAATAATGTCATGCCATGGAAAACAAAGGAATAAAGCCTATCGAAGAAAAAGGCCTAATGAGCTGTGTCAGATGCTACCAAGATGTCATGTAAAATGAAGACTGAGAAGTGATCATTAGTTCTAGCTATATGGAGGTCGGATTGGTAACCTTGACAATAGCAGTTTTGATGTGATGGTAGGCCATCGGCATCAAAGTCTGACAAGAATGAGATCCAGAGACAATAGGAAAAAAATTAATATAGACAACTCTTCCAAGAAATTTTTCTGCCAAGATAAGTGGAGATATCAACATAGTTTGAAGTCACAGATGCCATAAGTTTCTAATGGATTGGAGTGGGACAGGGGAGAAAGAAAGGAGTCCAGGATGGCCTGAAGATTTGGGATACAACATCTGTAAGAAAGCAATTGTCATTCCCTGGATAAGAATACTGCAGAAATCTATTCAAATAGTAATGTCTATTAATAATATGCCATTGAACGTATGAGTCTGCAATGTAGGGAAGAGGTTCATTAAAAATATTAGAGTTATCAGCATAGAGGGTATCTAAAACCATGAGGCTGGATAAATCACCATGGAGTAAGAAAATGGAAAATCGTAGAGCCAAGTTGCACCAGGAAGACAAAAAGAAATCAGCAGTGGAGACTGAGAAGGCATAATCAGGTGGGAGAGAACCAGAAGTTAAGTTTCGAAAAGTATTTCAAAGGATGATCAACTGTGTCAAAGGATGATGATAGTTCAAGTAAGATGAGTAACAGAGATCTGGCCTTAAGGTTTCAGTAACAGAGACCATTCATTGGTAATCTTGACAGAAGGCAGTATGATGGAAAACTGGAGGTAAGAGTCTGACTGCCATAGGTTCAAGAGAGAATGGAAGAAAAATAATTGCAGACAGTAAGTAATAGCACAAACAACTCTCAAAAGAATCAGAGAAACTGAGTGAAGGCTGGAAGGAGAGGAAATGTTGAGACCTTAGTTTTGTTTTTCAGAGAAAAACATCTGCATGCTTGTATGCTGATGGGAAACATCCATTAGAGATGTGGGAGAGAGAGGAAAAAAGGGCTGGTTCTTTTTCTCCGTGATATCTTAAGAGGTCCACCCCTTAATAAGGGTAAAATTTCTTAGTTTCTATTGGAGTAAAAAGTTGTAGATATGCCCAGAGAGGAGATTAAGTATACAGGGGATTTTGCTAATGACAGATCATAAATTCCAAGTGTCACAGTGGAAGAACTTCAAGAATGAGGAAGAGATATGAGCTGGGCAGAAGAGGAAAGTGGCAGAATTCTCTGGAGATTAGAATAAAAGGGATGAGCATGGTCCAGATGTCTGGAGTTACTTGAGATGACTTACATAAATATAAGTAAATTAAACAGTGATGTTAAGTCCTGGTGCTCTCAATGTAAGCATTAGTGATACAGTGTAGGCTCTGGGCTACAGAAGGCTGAGCATTATCTGGAAATCTCTTCTTCTCTTTTGTATGTTTGTCAAGCATAGCTTGACATTTCGCCAAGCTGTGGTCTGACAGTGGCCTTTCCCTCACCCACCTCTTAGACTCCAAGCGTACTGCTCAGTTGCCAGTTCAGCAAGAGGGGACACACTGTTTTTGTTTTTCCACGTCTTCCTGTCACTGCTTTAAGAAAACACAGCAGCTCTGCAGTGCTGTGAGATTTGTCGGGCAGCTCACGCTGCCTATGCTCTGAGCATTCACCTTTCACAGAGCTACTTATTTGGTAACATTCTTTTGGTACCTTTCAGAAGAGATTTTCATGGAAAATTCAAGACAATTTCATAGCACCTTGCAGCGGTAAAACAGAATTGAGTCCTCAAATCAAGACCCCAAACTCCCATCCCGGCTGTACTGCTATGCCTACAAAGAAATCCAAGACTGATATAAATCCAGAGGATCTTTGCATGCTGCAAGGGAGATTCTCCACATACTGCCTTTTCACTCCTGTAACAAATGTTTAGAAACATTTCCTAGACAGCAGAGATGAGTGAACAAGAAAAGCAGTCCAAAACGAAGCATGTATGCCATGTATAAACACTTCACCAATGGTAACTGTACTGACAAACAATGTTATGCCCTGACAAAAATTTAAATGTAGTACAAAAGTCACTCTAAGAAGAATTCAGTGTTTCTACTCAGATATCACAAACTGTGTTTTTTAAATTAAACAGATATATTGTTAATTTGCTGCTTGGAATTACCAAGTGACTAAACATGTTTGCCAGAACTGGAAGAGCAAATTGCTCAAGAAATTTCCTAGAAATGGAAAGAAAACTGTTTAAATTATAGTTCTAATTGGCCCCTTATCTGGGGCTGAGGGATTGGTGAAATAATTATTAGTGTACATAATGGCAAGTTTTGTGTAAAGATAAAATGGAAGAGTTTTAATTAACTCCAACAAACTTTGACATATGCAAGTGCTTACTCCCTGAAGATTGATTTTCATTTTACTAATGACACTGGAGGTGACACCATGACCACGTGTTGTGAGGAAATATGCTTTAGCCTGCTGATTCTGTCAGTAGCATTAATACTCTTGATTGCCATTTGTAGCATTTTTCCAGTCCTCCTAGTGACATGAAATTTCCTTCCTTTCTATAGTGCCAGAAATCATAACAGGGGACATGGAGTCAGCCATGGCTGTGGACCTAAATCCCTGGGTGGAATACGAATTTCGAGTGGTGGCCACCAACCCTATTGGGACAGGAGATCCAAGCACCCCATCTCGAATGATCCGCACAAATGAAGCAGGTAAACATTTGGAATAGTCAGATTGGATTTGGTATGCTTCTAATCGTCTTGAAACTAAGGTGAATTCACCATGATTGCTCCACTGCTTGCCTTAGCATAATTTGTCCTGATTCATCTACCTAAACATCATAAAATTATTTTCTTTAAAACAATTATTTCATTTTATTTGTTCTCAGAACTTTTTCTCCTTGTTTCCACAAATACAACCATCTAAATGCTTACATTTTCTCCCAATCCTTGCACTGATCTTCAGGTTACCATGAAACTGAAGCAGTTCATTTATTCTTCTCATAGTATACTCATTCAATATAGCATACCCTTAAGATTCAGAATAAATCTGCTCCCCTTCTTTTTCTCCAGTGATACTTTACTTGAATTACAGTGTACTTCCTTAGAACTCTTTTATGTTACCCTTCACCACCAAACCCATATAAATTACACTTTGCAAAAAGTAAACATGGTCCTTCCTTGACCTACTGCCTTCTTGAAGTTTATATGTAAAATAAATACCAATCTGCTCCTTGACTTTAAAACATTACATTATTCTCATCTTTTAGAAAAAGCACATCTGATAAAATGTTTCTAATGACTGAGGAATTAACAGCTCTATTTGAATTTTAAGATATCTTGCTTATCACATGGAAGGAGCAGAAAAATAAAGAAATAAGGAATACAGAAATTTTCTGTGTAGATTTTTTATGACGTTGGACAAAGTCTCATTGAGGTCTATCTTTTATGTCCCCCTAATATTGTATATTAAGAAAGTGTCTGGTTACACATTTACTTAGGGGAACACAAACAAACATTAATAGTGTTGATAAGAACAATATGAAAACAATAGAAAGAGGAGGATCAGGGATAGGTACAGGGAGGAAAAAATAACAAATGCTAATGATTTATGCTCAATGATAATACATGAGTCTCAAATAAAAGTGCACTGAAAATGAAGATTTGTCATATAGGTTCACTGCCCTACACTGAAACCTAGAACAGTGTTTGGTACTGGTACTCAACATGTCATATTTGTAAAGGGAACAATTTTTTCCTTTATAGCCCCGTACGCACACCAGTACATAGGTCAGATACGCGTGTACATACAAGACGAAGAATTAACTGTGTCCATTGTGTATTACAGTTATAGAACCGAAACAAAAATATGACAAAATATGACTTTTGACCTCTAACAAATTGAACAGAGCTTATAATCATTAAAATAAACAATCAAAACAGCTGACTTTTTCTCTAAAACATATTATGGCTCTCTAGGAGGGAAGGAGAATGGAGGGAGGGAGGGAGGAAGGGAGGGAAAAGAAAGAAAACAAATCCCAAGATGGTCCACTAGACTCAGATAAATGGAACAGCTCCTACTGAGGGACCCAGAGGACTGGCGTGCTCCTAACAGATCTTCACAGGGAAGGCATTGAGAGTGGACAGAGGGAAGACACAGAGACTGGGCTGATTGGGGGAGAAAGTTGGGAACCCTATGCGGGGCTACAGCACACCCGGACTTATTTCTAGCCCCCAACAGCTCTGGGGGAATTGGGGAGTTGAACTGGCAAGGAGCAACCCACTCTTGCCACAGGCCTCTGAAACTGCAGCAGCAGGAGACCCCCTAGACCACCATGGACTCTCGACTTGGCAGGGAGAGCTGCATAGAGAAGTGGTAGGAGCTGCATGCCAGCTGATGTGGAGCACAGAGGGTTTGGTGCAAGAGCATCTGTAGTGGAGCATGGTCAGGGATGACCATCCCCCTAGGTCTGATTTGCTCCATAGGAGACTTTGGCCCTAGGGGAACTTTTTGTTTGTCCTGAACTCTGTAAGGTAATTTTGCCCATCAGATGGGGCCAGTCTGACCTGAGCAACACGTTAGTCTGCTGGCCTCTCCAAGGGCCTCAGTATGGCCACACCTGCATGCACAGCACCCTCGGGAGCCTTGGGAGGCCTCATCATAGCTTCTGCTCTGGCGGACCCTGACTGCAAGACAGAGAGCTCAAGCGGGGCGGCTCCTATGGCCACTCACCAGCCCGCACAGTCTTTCCCCACACTGCAGCCGCAGCGTCCCCCACATTCCTCCATGGGGCAACTCCCACATGAGTTTGCTGGGCGTGTCTGCTTAGGGGTAGGGGTGGGGGTTTGGGTTTGCTTTCCTTGCCCTGACAGCACCTGGTAGTGCAGTCTGCTACCCCTTCCCCTGCCAACGGCCATTGCAGACAGAGTTTTGGTAGGTTCAGGGCCAGCAAGCCCCACCCCAACAAGTACCCCACCCTTACGTTCAGAATGTGCAGAGAACAGCAGATCCTCTCCCACCCTGAGTGACCCTTCCGGCTTGCAGAGCAGAGAAGACACCCAGACCTGCACATGTCAGTGCCCCACCCCCAGCCAACACCACCTCCAGTGCAAGGAGGCACACGGTTATCATCAGGCACCCCACCACCACCACCACCCTCACCCCAGGCCCAACCCCCACTACATTGCCTCCGCCACTGTGGTGAATGTCCTCAGGGAGACAGGCACCCAGGAACCCGCTAGCACTCATAGAAAGATTCAGTATCGTTAAAATGAACATGCTACCCAAAGCAATGTATAGAGTTCATGGTATTTCTATTAAACTACCATTGACATTCTTCACTGAACTACCAAAACTATTTTAAAATTCATATGAATCAAAAAAGAGTCCAAATAGTGAAGGCAATTCTAAGCAAAAAAAAGAAAGCCAGAGGCAACATATTACCCAACTTCAAACTGTACTACAGGGCTACAGTAACGAAAACAGCATGGTACTGGTACTAAAACAGACATAGATGAGTGGAACAGACTAGAGAGTGCAGAAATATGGACTAACTCCTACAACCATGTGATCTTCGACAAACCTGACAAAAACAAGCACTGGGGAAAGGATTCCCTATTCAATAAATCATGCTGAGATAACTGGCTAGCCATATGCAGAAGATTGAAACTTGACCACTTCCTTTCACCATATACAAAAATTAACTCAAGATGGATTAAAGACTTAAATGTAAGGTACAAAACTATCAAAATCCAAGAAAAAACACCTAGGTAATACCATTCTGGTCATAGGAACGGGCAAAGATTTCATGATGAAGATGACAAAAGCAATTACAACAAAAACAAAAATTGACAAATGGGATCTAATTAAACTTAAGAGCTTCTGCACAGCAAAAGAAACTGTCAACAGAGTAAACAGATAACCCACAGAATATGAGAAAATTTTTGCAAACTCTGTATCTGATAAGGTCTAATATCCAGCATCTACAAGGAACTTAAAGAAATTTACAAGAAAAAACAAACAGCCCCATTAGAAAGTGCACAAAAGACACGAGTAGACACTTTTCAAAAGAAGACATACATGTGGCCAACAATCATATGAGAAAAAGCTCAACATCACTGATCATCAGAGAAATGCAAAATGCAATGATATTAAAACCACAAATAAGATACCATCTCATGCCAATCACAGTGGCTATTACTAAAAAGTCAAAATATAACATGCTGGCAAGGTTGCAGAGAAAAAGGAACACTTATACTCTGTTGGTGGGAGTATAAATTAGGTCAACCATTGTGGAAGAAAGTGTGACAACTCCTCAAAGACCTAAAAACAGAAATAACATTTGACCCGATATTCCCATTACTGGGTGTATGCTCAAAGGCTTAAATACCTGGGTGATGAAATTACCTGTACAACAAACCCCCATGTCATAAGTTTACCTGTGTAACAAACCTGCACATGTACCCCTGAACTTAAAAGTTTAATTTAAAAAAAAATTCCACATGATCAAATTATCACATTAAAATTAAATAACAATACAAAAGATGTTCAGTTTTTTCCATATAAAAATTAAACAACCAAAAAAAAAAAAAGGTAAAATGGCTTAAATATGTTGGAAAAGATTCATCCACAGAAAATCCAACTTCTCCGCTTTTGTGATTTGCCTGTTATAAGTTGTTTTTTCTGCTACCTTTTCAATAGCATGAATTCTAAATTAAACATTAATTGCCTGGTTGGATTTTCATGCATCCATAAAACCAGCCTTGCTTTCATTGTGTACAGGTGTTCATTAATTAAGAGCATAACAGGTTAGTTGTTCTTCATTTTATGTACTCACTGTGCAGATACTGAAATGACTGCCAATAGTAGTACTTATGCTCACATATTTTCTAAAAAGCGCTGCCTTACTTTGCATATTGTTAATTGTGTTTAAACAAAGGCAAAGATTGCTGCCTAATTCAGAGGCTCTCTATAAATATTCATTTCAAAAATAAATAATCCATTTGGGATGAATAATCCTTTTCAACTTTTTATGGTATAAATCTCCTTGTGCTATAAAAAGCATTTTAGCAAAATCACTTTTACATTTCAAGCTAAAGTGTATTCAGATTCTACATTTTTTTTTTTTTTTTTTTTTTTTTTTTTTTGAGACGGAGTCTCGCTGTGTCTCCCAGGCTGGAGTGCAGTGGCGTGATCTCGGCTCACTGCAAGCTCCGCCTCCCGGGTTCACGCCATTCTCCCGCCTCAGCCTCCCAAGTAGCTGAGACTACAGGCGCCCGCCACCACGCCCGGCTAGTTTTTTGTATTTTTAGTAGAGACGGGGTTTCACCATGTTAGCCAGGATAGTCTCGATCTAATGTCTATTTCTGCAGCTACCTCAATCATGTATTGCCTGTCTCTATTTTATCATGAGTTCTATATACATGACATACTTTAGTCCATTAAAATCTTATGGAAGAGAAGTACTATGAAAAATGCACGAAGTACTCTCCTTTGAAAGTGAGTTGAGGAAGATTTGTATTGCGTACTTTATGCTTCTTGTACTGTGGTACCACATACATAGGGCTAGAGCTACTAATGGTGTTGAACCAAGTGTTGAATTATGTGCCTGTTTTGTCAGGCAGCACAGATTTAAAGAGACACCAATATCTTGAGACATCCTCTCAAATGATGCACTCTGCCTCTATTAAGTACATATCTAGTATTTTAAAAG